CTTCGCATCATACGAGATCCCAAACTCTAGCTGCCAGCTCCCACCGGAGAAGAAGAATTGGATGTTGGAGAAGGAGACTGACCGCTGACCATCGATCGCTGCCGCACTGGAACTACTGACGGTTGCCAAACAAAGTAAAATTTTTTCCTACCCACTCAAAATTCGATTTCGAGCACCCCTATGGCAAATTAAAGCAAGAGAGACAGTGGGTGAGCCAAAAATCGCATACAAAGTTCGGTGGAGCCGTCGTGGCCAAAATCCCAAAATACCTCTGATGAGCTCCTTCCCGCTTCTCGTTTCACGCGATTTTTCAGTCATTATGTTCACTGTCATTTTCTGTGCAGGTTAGCCAAAGAAATAATCTCAGCCACGAATGAGGACTGGTGGAGCCGCCGCACCTAGAGGTCCCTCCCGTTGGTAGGTTTGATTTTTGTGATTTTTTGGCCAACTGAGGTCCTCTAACATAATTTTCTGTAAGAATACGTGTATAACAGATCAAAACTGGCCAAAACTGGCAATGTTGAGGTGAATTGCTATCGTGGGCGTCGGAGCACGGCAGCGTCGTCGTGTCGAAACTCTAAAATTGGTCGAAAAGGGTTTTGGACACTAATTTTTAATTTTTAGGTATGTAACAAGTGTTTTGAATTTTGTAAGAAAAATTCAAGAAACCCAGTACCCGTTAGGAGGTATGATAGACAGTGTGACATCTTAAAACACTAATTTAGATAAGGATCCCTCATCCTATTCGCTGTTACGATAAATTGAGGTTTAACGATTTATAATTTTGTATTTTTGTAAAAATTTAAAAAACTCTAAAAATAATTATAGGTTACTAGTGTAACCGGAACTTGTTAGTTTTTTTGTTTATTTTTCTATATTATCCTACTTGCTTGATTTTCATATAGTACGTGTTCTTAATTTATAGTTTCAATGGTCTTATTGACTTATCTGGTTATTTTAGTTTTACAACATCAGCATGAATGTAATTTAATTAATTTGTGAATGTGATATGAGATATTAGTATGCGTTGTTGATTGTTTATTGGTGAAAATCTATATATGAAAGACTTACTGGTTACCCAGAAAAAGGGCAGACGAGCTCGGTACATAATAAATTCTACTGTGAACATTATCTCAGTCGGACAGAGCTGAGAAGTCCCTTACCGAAAATGTTTAGAGATTATTCACTTTCATATTGGATGGGGTATCGAGATAATGAAATATTTGATGTCCATTATTGGATGAGGTATGAGGATGACTGGTTAATTGTAAAATTAGATATTGGGTTCACGAATAGGGGGGACATCCCTATAAACCCCCAGAGGTACTAGTAAACAGGTAAAAAAAAAAAAGTTATTACCTCTTGTTCTCTTATACGTGAAAGTGAAAAGTGGTATGGATATGGACATTCATAGGTTATTTTTGGAAAACTCATTACGGTAAGTATCAAACAAATATTTTCAAGTTTAAACGTATTTAAATAAAGAAAGGACTCCATTAGTTATTTTTTTTATTTTTATCAATTTTTAGTTTTATGTATCTGTGATTAGTGTGATATTCTTACTTGACTAATATAACTCACCCTTTCATTAATCATTTCAAATAAAATGGACCAGAATCTAGATTCTGATCAGTAAGAGGATTGTGAGTAGTTCACCACCGAACTTCCTTCAAGTACTGGTAAGGGTTGTCATTGGGTACTTTTGTATTTGCTCTTTGTTTCATTTTTTTAATTACCATTTATCTTTTAGAAAGAACAGTCGCATAACTCTATTAAGTATTCTAAATTATTATGTAATGAATATAAATTATAACTCCATTAATCACTTCCCCATTTAATTTATGAATTTATTTCTATTTAAGTTATGGGCATTTACAATGGAAGCAAGAGGCCATAAGAATTTGGAGTTTAAAAACTAATTAGTGGTAATATATGCTGGATTTCAGGTTAACCGATGATTACATATGGGGCAAATATGGATTCAGGAAGCACTGTGAGGGGAACGGTACATTGAAGCAATAAACAGGGAAGGAGATGATACATTTAGGAGCTATGGGGGAGAGGGAAAAGTCTTAACAGACCGATAGCTAGGGATATAGAAAGTACATGAGGAGGATTAGAGGAGGTAAATGGTGAAGTCGACTAGGCTGAGCGAGGATAAAGGACTGCTAGGAATGAGCTGAATAAACTGAGGGGTGAGGGAGACAGACAGGGACAAGGTCATCTATTGGCCGACACTTACTAGTTCAGGCATGTTGTTTAGGAGGCCTTTGGCCTACACTTAGGGGTGCCGGGGTGCCGATGTGTTGAGAATGTGAGTCTATGTGCATATGTTGATGGTCAGTCAGTGGTGGGGTGCTTGGGCATTTACATTTGTGTAAGGTGCCGATAGGATGCAGAGGCACGTCTTGTGCGTGCGGCCTCTCAGGGGTTAAGATGTGGTTGGGGTGAAGCAGGTGCTGGGGTGTGGATGTGCCAGGAGAGTGATTGTGTGAGTGTGGCCCTTAAGGGTCGACGGATGTGTGAGTATGACCCTCAAGGGTTGACTACTATGTGAGTGTGGCCCTTAGGATTCGACGACTGTGTGAGTATGGCCTTAGGGGTCGACGATTGTGTGAGTGTGGCCCTTAGGGGTCGACGGCTGTGTGAGTGTGGCCCTTAAAGGGTTGATATGTGTGGGAGCATCTACTGCTGTAGTGAGACAATGGATACGGCACTGCGTGGGTGGCCTTTAAGGGTTAGTCTTTGCACCAAGACGTGCGTTGTATATCGAATGGTGTGAATGGGGGAAAATGAGAGATATGGTTTAGTGTAATCATGTGAGAGATAGTATATGTGGGAGGGGAAGGACTATTAGTTGTTCTGGGTTGTGATGTTGCTCAGTATGGCGGTATTGCTAAAGGTGTAAAGTGGATTTATTTTCTGTATCTAGGAATCGGTAGGGTCGTAGTATAGTGTTAGGTCAAAGTATGATGGGGTGTCGAGCTGTGCTGATCAGTCGCAGGGAGACGAAGTTAGAGCCAGTAGGTAGTAAATGAAAATGAGGATGAGTGTGAGATAAGCATGGGTGGAAAGGGAGTATGGTTAGTAGGAGGGAAGAGAGGCAGAGTAGGGAATAAAATGTTGGGAAGAGAGTCTAAGTAATTGTCATCCTTTAGTTTTAAAGTCTAAATTGTTCTTATTGGTTATGTATACTCGTTATCGTCCTTTTCAGATGCAGCGTAACAAGAGTCAGAACCGGAATAGGTAGCCACTGGATTCCATACTTAAGGGAGATAGATTAGTAGTATTGAAATTGAGATGAACTGTTACAATTAACTGTGTTAACATGATAGCTGATTTTTCACGTGTTTCCTTCTATTTGTTAGACTGATTTTTGGGATAAATGTTGTATACCTTGTAAAGAATGGTGATTGCCTAGTGGCACAAGTTTTTCAGTGTTGGTTGAATTTTACTCATTTCGATGCATTGATATAGGATAGTGGAATATATCATTATTTTTCCGTAAGACGATGAAGTGGTTTGTCATACTTTAAGATTGCGGAAGCCCATTCCTCTTTTCGTACTTCTGCATAAAAACCAGTGCGTTGTTTTACTGTCATCTTTCCTCTTATTCCACAAAAAACTATTCATCATCTTTTAAAACTCATCACAAAGGCTCACTGTGATCAATTATATAAAATTATAGTGAATTAAAAAATAAAATAAAGTTTTACATATGAAAAATTTCAATAGATAATTATTATATGTATATATCAAAATAATTTTTACATTTAAGAACTTGTAAGGTATGTGGTCCATAGTCAATTAAAAATTAAATCTTATTTTACATTTTAAAAACTCAAATAGATAATTATTGTGTATATCATATTAATTTTATTTTTATATTTTAAAATTTGAATGGGTAACATTTTTATGTGTATATAATACATATAATTAAAACTATTATATTAATCCTATTCTTATTTTAAAATTTAAATTAATAATATCTATAATTTTACCTTTATGTAAAAATATATATTTATAATTAATATTAAGATATTATTTTGATTTTTTATTTCAAAGAATAACAAAATACCATGTGACATTCATCCGTGTTACTTATATACATATATATAGATAAATTATTCATTAAATATATAAATTATAAATTATTGTTAATTTTTGCATATTAAATAATTAAAATATAAATATTAAATATGAATAAATAAGATTTGAATCAAATGTAATATCAATGTTAAAATAAGATATACATCACATGAAGATTTCTATAAGGTATTTAAAACATGTTTATACATTATGGTCTTATTTAATAATTTACTTTTGTAACTAGTATTTTATGTTAATATTAAACAATTACAAATTTAATACATTAAAAAGATTACATAATTAGTCTAAAGTATTTTAAGTTATTGAATCTAAAATATAAAAAATATAATAATGTATACACATTTTATGTATATTAATTAATGAGTATTTGGGCTTATTTCTTGATGGGTTTAATGAAAATGCAAAAAAGTTTAATGGGTTCTTTTGGATTTATGAAATGGATTAAAGTGGTTTGTGTGAGAAATAAATTTGGGTCATAAATTGGGGGGTTTTTTTTTTTAAAAAAAGAATTTAAAATAGTATTTTGGTTTTTTTAATCCATTTTTATTGTTCCAATTAAGAAAATATAATTAAAGATTAAATTAATAATTTTTTATCTTTAATTACTTAATTTTAGATTCAAGTTACAATGTATATATTATATATATATATATATTGTGATAAAATATAATATTTGTTACCTCAAAACTTCATATCAAACCAAACTTGAACTTTTCCCGTACCAAATAAAAAATTTATTCAACATCACTAATGCATATTTATGACATTATTATTATTATTATAATTATTGTAAAAATAAAAAAAGAGAATTGTGAAATGACTAAAATACCCTCAACATCGCCAAGTAACCTGAAATCTAATTAACCCAAATCCCCAACAAACAAAGAGGAGAAAAAAAGCTCTGAATTTCACAAAATTCCAAACCCGACCCAACTCGGAAAAATCAAGCTCAAACCAAAATTCTCTTTTCACTGTTCCGGAACTGGAAAAAGCTTCTTCTCCTCTCTTCGTCAGCTCCCCGTTGGATTGAACAGAGAAAGAGAGACGGGGAGGAGGGTTTTCGAATTATCGGATTCTTCTTTTTTCCCAAATTACCCCTGTGGTTTGTTTAAATGCCAAATTCAAATTCTTGTAGTCCTTGTTGTTGTTCAAGATAATCACGAAGCAGCGACCATGATCGTGAGGACATACGGTCGCCGCAACAAAGGAATCGCGAGGGCTTACTCGGACTCCTTAAACGACGACGTAGCGGACCCTTTCAGAGACTCTTTCTCTTCCCAAGAAGCGCCGCCGCAAGATTTTTATAGCTTCCCCTTTTCTTCTCAGGAATCTTCTTCTTTCTGGCCTTCTTCGCTCGATCCCAGCTCATCCCAGGACAACTCTCAATCAACTTTGCGGAGGAAATCCCATTTCGATGACGATTCGACCAACGGCGTCGTGAGGAGGGGCAAGAAGCATAGGAGCGGGAACACTGGTAAAAGGTTTCCCCCTTCTTCTTCTTCCTCTTTTGCTCATTCATCTGGGTCCTTGATTCCGGTTACCTCAACGCTGATGGAGGCCCAGGAGTTTGGGGAGATGATGGAGCATGTTGACGAGGTAAATTTTGCGCTTGATGGGCTAAAGAAGGGCCAGCAGCTGAGGATCAGGAGAGCCAGCCTTTTGTCCTTGTTGTCGATTTGCGGTACTGTGCAGCAGAGAAGGCTGTTGAGAGCTCAAGGGTAGGTTCTTTGAAGGAATTTGCTTTATTTATTATTATCTTTTCTTTCATTTTTTTGGTTTTGGTTTTGGTTTTGAGGATGAGTTATGGGTTATGTTAGAGGCAATGCTAGGAAATTTGTATAGACATCTGGGGTTATTTGAATTTTATGACGAAAGTTGATTTTAGAAATGTACAGTTCGAGTAGAACTGTGTTTATGGCTAAGTGGGTTTGAAGCTTGTACAAAGATTTTTCAGAAGATTGGCATCAAGTAATGGCATCCGTAGAGTTTTTTTAAGGGCTTATTCATGTTATATATGGGATCCATTAGATTCTATATTTCTTTTCAAGGAATTACAGTGTTAATTGCCAAAAGGCATTATAGGATTGATGGAAAACTTCAAACTTGGTTGGGTTTATATAGGAGGCTGACAAGATAATAATATCAGTATTTCTTACATTTTCATGTAATAGCTGTCACCTAAAAGCAGTAGAGCATGATAATGAGAGATATAAAAGAAAACACAAAGTTGCATATAATTCCTAGTTAATTGAAGGGGAAGCACTACAGATATGCTACCCATTTCTTCAGTCCTGTTGGATTTGCGGGCCTGATTGAGTCGAATGATATTCCCTATGGATTGTCTTGCCTTCTTGGAATTTTCTTTTGGAGTGGGTAAGGACTAGGCTGGTTGACCTCATGTAACCTCTGGGGATTTGCCCTCATGTCCTAAAGTAATTGCCTTTTCAATTTTTACTTCTAGAATGAATCTTTACAAATTTTGGGTATGCTTGGTTCCTTATTTAAATATACGAGCTATAAATATATTAATAGATCAGAACAGGTAATTTGGCATTACATTTCCATTAATAGCTTGATAAAAATCTGAATTGACCAATTCAATTATAAAATGAGATTTGTATCATGGTATTAGTGGAAATGTGTCAGAATATCAATTTGTACCTGTTATATGAAATAATCAAAATTTTCCCCTGCATTCGAAATTTATATTATTTTGGCTATTTGAGACTCCACTTTCTCATACTCTCTCAAAGCATGCTATGAAGAAAAAATATGACAAGTGTGTTGTTCATTAAATGGAATTTGGGTCATCTAAATGAGTGACTATAATCGGTTTTTTTTTTCCTTTTTTGATTTTGTGAAATCATAAATGGCATTTCTTCCAATTATGCAGAAATCTGGACTTCAGTTCCTTTTTTTTTTTTGGCTGCAACCCTTCTGAATTATGTTGTTTTCAGGATTGCAAAGACTATAGTTGATGCTCTTTTGGGTCTCAGTCTTGACGACACGCTAAGTAATCTGGCTGCAGCTACTCTTTTCTTTGTATTGACGGGTGATGTAAGTTGTTCAGTCTGAGAAGCTTTAGTTTTAGTGAATGTTGAATCAGTAACCATGGCTTGTTGACAAATGGTTTTGCATATAAGTGTTGAGTATGAGACTATCTTGAACAGGTGGCTAAGCAGGGTAGATAATAATTACTTATCTTATTTGCTGGGAAGGCCAACATTGGGCTTGCCGCTAATACTTCCTGATGAACATTAAAGGATTCTGATTATATGGATGGTCATTTAAGTTAAATTGCATATGCCAAAGATTATGCTCCTAATTATCAACTGCTAGCTGTTTTGAGGATCAGGCCTATTTCTGTCTCTGCCCATGGACCTAACTATAATCTCTATTTTTTTTTAAGACTGAGGTCTATAATTTAATAATGCTTTTATTCATTATATCTAATAATTGTAAATAATATAGTTTTCTGAACAAATGTAAAGTTAGTAGATGATTATTTTAAATTCAAAAACTTGAATTTGATGTAAATTGTATACTCAGTTCTCTCTGAAGTCCTAATAATTTCAGTTATGTTATTGCATGTTCATGCGCTTCCGAGTACTAAGTTCTATTTTCACGTAATATTTATCATCTTGCCATACCCTGAGGACATTTAATTTCATTCTCTAATAATACCTTTTTTTTTTCTTTTATGGGGATATTTAGTCCTTTGCTTGTTCTACTTCTCTTTCTTTCTATAGCAACATTTATTTTCTACAAAAAATATCACCTGCAGGGTCAAGATGAGCACCTTCTGGAGTCACCCTCCTGCATTCGTTTTCTAATTAAATTGTTAAAACCAATTGTCTCCACCACAACTGAGGACAAGACACGAAAGCTGGGATGCAAACTTTTGTCATTACGCAGGGATGCTGATGTTGTTCGAGATACAACTAAAGTGTCAGATTCAAGCTCTGCTGCTATTATTTCCAAAGTTCAGGAAATTCTGGTTACTTGCAAGCAATTAAAGCCTCCAGATGGGGATGGCAGTGGAGTCAAGAGGCCAGAATTAAACCCAAAATGGATAGCTTTGTTGATTTTGGAGAAAGCTTGCTTATCTAAAATTTCATTTGAAGGTATTTGGATAATCTTCCTCTTTTGCTATCTATTTGAGCTAATCATTATTTTTATAGATGGCCTAGTTAGGCCTGTAGGTTATTTGTTGTTGCCATTGTTGAAGACAGAATACTAGGTTTAATAATAAGAATCTTAGATATGGTTGAAATTGGTATTTTGGGACTGTTTTGTTTTCTTTAATTTTTACGTTGAGGAACTAGTACTTTGGGATTCTGGTCTTAAGAAAGTTAAATGTGTCCTTTTAAGCTAGCGGCAGTTGGGATCCCCTGTATAAGTTCTTAAACTAGTAAATCAATGGAACTAAGACAACATGCACTATAGGAATCATTCCTCATCCTGACTTCTCTCTCTAAGTGATTTTCTTCTCATTGCTGAGATTTATTTTGTTTCTTTCTCTGTGTTGGATTTGCCAGATAACCCAGATACAGTGAGAAAAACTGGGGGCAACTTCAAGGAAAAATTACGAGAGCATGGAGGACTTGATGCGGTTTTTGAGATCGCCATGAATTGTCATTCTGTTATAGAGGTGTGAGCCAGTATGTTTGTTTGATCTCATTATCTGTATTACTATACTTGTTTTAGATTCTGGAGGTTGTCATAACCTTTTTATCACAAGAGTTTGTTCTTATAACCCTTTTCTCTTGCCGATCTATTTCTCAAGAAACTGAGAATTCAGTGTGTGACATGAAAATTTTGTTGATACATGGATGCACTAAACAAGAATCAGAAAGAGAAGCAGTATGAAAAGAATGACTGACCCAGAGAGGTTTTTAAGGTTGTCATTCCTTGCACTTCTTGAATTGTGAGTAGATGTCCCAAAATGATGGTTTCATGCTTGGATATATAGTACTGATGGATTTGACCCCTTTGATTTTAATATATCCAGAATTTCATTCTAAGATGGTCTCCTCATGCTTAGATATAGTATTGATGGATACTGGGCCCATCAAGTTTAATATTCTTGAGTTCCCATTCTACTCACCTACTGTTTTTGCATGGTTTCATTTTCTCATTTAAGGTGAAGTCTCTAGACATAGCCGCTTATTTTATGCCCTCTCTGTTAATTTCTGTTTTAGAAATTTATCTTATGGTGTACAGGCATAATTATAGATGATATTTGTTGCATAGAGATTGGACAGCCTTCTCTGTTTAAGGGGCACTAGACTATCTCCTTTTTTCCTGTTCTTTTTTTTTTTTTTAATCTAGGAGGATATCAAATCCTCTACTGTTTTGTATTCTCTTTTCTTGTCTTAATGATATTTCTTTTTCTATAAAAAATATAATTACATCAGCAGGGAAGGATGGAGTGTAGTGTATCTTCTTCTAAGGACAGAAAAGATCATTTGGATAAAGAGACTCTTGCCTTACTTCTAAAATTTTTGAAAATCATGGAGAATGCAGCATTCCTTAGTAAAGATAATCAGGTATTGGGATGTGATTTCTATCTTTCCCTTTCTCACATATGTTCTGTGATACTTGAACGGCCATTTGATGTTGATTAACTTTGTGTTGCTTTTCTCTTCCAATGCAGACTCATTTGCTTGCAATGAAAGGAAACCTGGCTTCTTGTCAGTCACAACTGTCTTTTATGGAACTTATGATTAGCTTCATCAAGATTCTTTCGCGTGAGTAAAAGCTCTGGAAGTTACCTTTGATGATATGTTTCCCCTTTTCTGAGACCATTTGCATTTTGATGACTTGGCCACCTGTTTTCAGGTCTCTATCTACGCAGAAATTTGGCAGCTGTGTCCAATGATGAAAAGCCTAGTAGTTTTTCTGATGTGCTTGGTCATGCTTCTGAATTGGCGTTCGCAGATGATTTTAAAGGTACTTGTTACTCTTAATATACTGTCCTTCTCTCACTATTTTTTTCTCTTTCTGTATATCTAAGGATTTATTGCTAATTTGCAGCAGACAACAATGAGGTTATATGCATAAGTTCTACAAAATGCTTAAATACAGGGACTTCCTCTAGGAAGAGCTCCCATGCATCTCAGAACAATCAATCAACTCTGCAGTCAAGTCGCTCTGTATCTGGTTCTGAAACGACTACTGCGCCAATGAATGATCGTTGTTTGCTAAGGATTAGAGTTG